ATATTGGGATATATCGTATCGTGACCCCTCTGTTATGATATGTATCGTATCGCCAAATTCTTGCCAATACATAGCCCTACTGGTGGCGGCTCCTTTATTTTTTATTTGATTTTATTTTTACCACTGTTGGATTATGGAGATATTTTGTATATGAACACATCTGCTAAATGTCTTCAAATGATTGATACTGTTTATCAGGCCTCTTTGAGGTTCATTACAAACTGAAAGGCACTGACACATCACTGTGTTGTACTCCATGGTAGAATGGCCACCAGAAGGCTCTGCCATTGGTATACATTCATATACAAGGCAATTTGTGGACTTCTTCCCTCCTACATTTGTACTTTGATTGGGGAAAAAAAGCACCATTTCTTACTCCATCCACTCACAAGACATTTTGATGCTTTCTGTTCCATTTGAACTGAATTCTGCACCTTCTAAATGGAAAACGTTGCAGAAAAACTGGAAACTGAGTTAATTTCACAGAGTGCTTTTAAATCAAAACTGAAAGGTCTTGATACTGACTCCATAACGTGCACCTGTTTTTTTATTTAAATATTTTAATATTTTTCTATTGGATGTTTTTAAATTTGTCTTATTAAGATGTGAAACTATGTGTTGCATTTGCTGCTGCTGCTGCCAATCTTGGCCAGGTCTCTCTTGAAAAAGAGGTTTTTAATCTCAATGGGACTTTCTGGTTAAATAAAGGTTATAAATAATAAAATAAATAAATAAATAAAAAAGCCGGTTGAAGAAAGTGCTAGCTAAACGCTAAGAATAGTAAAACACTAGCTAAGGAGAAAAAAAACACTGGCAAAAAGCTTAAATTACCAAAATACTATTCAAATGTGGCAAAACATTAGTTAAAAGCAGCAAAAGGCTAACTAAAAGCCAATCTAGTATTAGAAGACAAAAGTAGTGCAAGTATGCTGAAACAAATTTTAGTGTTTCGGGAGAAAGTGTAAGAGAAGAAATCTAAAATATTTATAAGGGGAAGTTTTTGTAAATGAACTAAAATATGTTGGACAGCATAGAAAACACCAAAACCAAAAACTGTACCGTACATCTCCTACACAAACTGAACATTTTGACGTACAAATGGCTAAAATAAGCACCCAGCATGGAGAAGTAGGTAAAATGCAAAAATGCAGGGAAAAACAAACAATCAAGGATACAGGAAAGTAACAGTGTGAATGTTATCTCAGCATTCATGATGACGTCGGATTAATTTGTGGTTGTTTTATAAATGTCGGCTTGATGCTTTTTGAACTTGTGGCATTCTGGTATAAAACAAACCTGCAAAATAAACCACAAACACAACTCCCTCTCTCTTCAACGTTAGCTCAGTTTCAGGCTTAAGCCACAAGGCTGCTCTAATAATAGGCATTTCCCTGAAACTCGGCTTCAGAGGACTTCCTCTCAACACATTAGGTAACATATTACTGTTGAAACTAATAGTTTTATTACTAATAGACTTGACTTAATTAAAGAAGTGTCAGAGTGTTGCAGCTCAAAGTACTGCAACGTTTCACCAGAATCCATTCATTCACAGCAGCGTTTGACGGTCAGTGATGACAAACCATGCTCACAGTGACTGACATGGTGTCATAAGTGCTATTATGAGTTTTGTTTAGAGATTTCTCCTTGTCTCTGCAAAGAGCAGCYAGAAACCAAAAGTAGTTTAGGGAGATCACATAATAGAAGAAGTTATATCTGGATTAACCTGCTCCTGCCAGCTCTCTGCGATGTGCTCTGTAATTTACCTACAGAAAGCAGCCTGATGTCTACTAACCAGTGTAGCAGCTTTGAGACTGTAAAACACAAATTCATTCAAAAAATATGCAAAAGTGAGCGAATATGTGAGAAAAGCTTAGAGATTGTATTAACAGGTAGGTCACCAGGGGCCAGTGCAACAAACCACAACACAACCTTTTCCTAAACCTCAACTCCTCACCTCAGTTCACCTGAAACCCTGAGCTGACGCCAGAAATCACACTGCTCGTGTTCAGAAGCACAAGATCAGTCAGGATCTGCCCTGACTCCAACCTTTCACCTGCTGTTTTTGGTTAACAGGACCCTGCTTGGTCCGTCTGTCTCAGGTGTTTTGGAGATTTGATCAAAGCATGTTAGTTTGTGGCTCTGCATGACCCCGTCAGTACTTACATTTGTCCGAGAACTCCTTCTGAGGTGCACGGAGAGGGGATTAAAAAAATCTGAGCATGTAAGGACTAGCAACATAAGGCCACGTTCACACTGCAGACAAATGTGACCCATATCAGGGTTTTTTCCTGACAGTCTGAACATGGCAAATCCAATTTTTTTTTTCAAATCTGACCCAGGAATTTTCAGCATGTGGTACTGAATCAGATATCTGATGTTTTTCAAAGGGACCTCAGCCTGAGCACTTGTGTTGCATTTCATCTGTTACACTGGCTATAGTGTGAAAATTGCAGAACTGCACATAGAGAGCCCCTTCTGTTACCTGCAATTACCTGAACGTCATAGATATACAAACACACTTCCCCCTTTTTTCCTCATTCTCAGGTTCTGAAGCCAGCTTGACCCGTTCAACTGGAGCTGCCGTGTTGTGGTTTTGAAACCAGAAGTGCAAAAAGACAATGCGGGGCTTTACTCCCATACCATTTATAACTGCAGCCTCTTATCATGATCCTGATCAAACACAAAAAGGCTATGACTCTGTAAGTTTTACAGATATTGAGCTAAAATTTACATATCAAGTGTTTAAATTATAAAATTGTAAAATTTGTTTAAAAATAAAGATAGTTTTGAATTTTATGTGGCAACACGTGAAAAAAGACTGTGAATAATATACACCCAGATGAGCATTTTGTGATTAAATAGGGAACTGGCAAAAGAGCATTTTAGAAAAGCTGAATCTTTAGAAGATGCACAGGTTTACCAGTCTGCAAATAAATAAATAAATAAATAAATAAATAAATAAATAAATAAATAAATAAATAAATAAATCTGCATCTAAAAATACTGGAACAATTTCAGAATTATTTTTCCTCAACAAAAAAATTAAGAAGACATTAATATCCTGTCATGTGTTTTATAATATCATCAAAAGATTTCAAGAATCAGAGGGATCTGCACACAGGACAGGTTTAAAAGTCAATAAACTCTTTCACAGACCAGTCCATCTTTACTCTCCGTCTGGATTTTCATAAATCAAATGTGGAGACGACCACGTCCCGCAGAGACGTGAGCTTTCAGARATGAAGCGAGCATCGAAGAGACTTGGATCAGAACTCAGTTGGCCCGAGGCCTTAACACATTAAATATTTAACAAACATCTGCCTGTTTTAAAGACATGATGAATTACGGTAGCTCAGTTTAACTAATCTTTTTGTGGTCAGCAGATTTTTTTAAAGTAAATACAAAATGACTGACTTATCATTGATCTCCCCTCAGTAATCTGTTTATTCTTGTTTAATCCCACAAATTGCTGGCTGCACGACCAGATGTCATCACTTCATCACATTACTGATTTGCAGCACAGACCTTTCCACATATCGTCCGTTTCTTTAGAGTCACAGAGACATATCAGGGGTGGGAGAGTCCGCCCCAGGGTGCCCAGGCTCTGCTTCCTCGTGGGAAGATGTGTCGGAYTGTGGAGGTCTTCAAAGTATTCTGCCCGCCGACCCACAACGTCTCGAGTTGAGGTCAGCAGCACACCATCCCCACCATAAATAGTGTTGGTGGCGAACCTCTTTCCACCCCTGAGATGCCGGATGGTGGACCAGAATTGCCTCGAAGTCAACGGAAGTCTTTTTCCATGGCCTCTCCGAACTCCTCCCATGCCCGAGTTATTGCCTCAGCGACCACTCCAGCCGCAATCCGCTTGGACTGCCGACACCTATCGGCTGCTTTTGGAGTCCCACAGGCCAAAAAGACCCAATAGGACTCCTTCTTCTGTGCTTCTTCTGCCACCACAACAAGCACCGACAACCTTACGGCCACAGCTCAGGGAAGCCGCCTCGACAATGGAGGGACTCCATGGCGGCTGATGACTTGTCCCAGAGGCAGGATGTATATAATGTGAAGAGAGTAGGACCAAGAACTGACCCCTGAGGAACTCCACAAGTGACCGTATGAGTCTTTGATTTGGCTTCTCCGATGGCAACATATTCAGTTCTGTCAGAATGGTAGGACCGGAACCAGTCAAGGACAGTATCATGACGTCCAATAGTTTGTGAGAGACGGTTGAGGAGGATGTTGTGGTCAGTAGTGTCAAATGCTGAGGACAGGTCAAGAAGGATTAAAAGAGACAGTGAGCCTGCATCTGCTGCCATCAACAGGTTGTTGGTGGCCCAGATTAAAGCTGTTTGGTGGAGTGTGAAGAGCGAAAACCAGACTGAAACTTCTCAACAGCTCATTTGATTTGAGGTGATTATTTAACTGTCCTGTCTTATGTTCCTCAATGATTATCAACAATAACTTGTTTTAAAAATGAGGGGGATATGAAAAAAATGTGGTGTTTGAACATTTTGTGTGACAAGTGTAACTTATTTTAATCTCAGTGCTGGAACTACTTTCCCAAATGAATAAAAAGGGCAAACGGGCCTAAACAGTCCAAGAAGGACCACAGGGTTAACTGAATGAATCGTGAAATGTTGCAGAGAAAGAGCACACAGCCGTCATGCTCTACAGCAGTGATTACCTAAATTGTTGCGGTCTGTTTCCCACAACATCCCAGCTTTGTGTGAGATGGGTTGAAGCTATGCAAACACCTGAGGGGGCAGCAAAGGGCCAACGCCCCCACTCCTCCCCGCCTCCCGACGCCCCTGCAGGATATTTGCTCCTCGGCTCGTTTGCAGCCAAAGTTTCCTGTTTTTCGGAGCCGCTCAGAAGTGCAGACTCATCAGAATGTGAGGACGGTGACTCCGGGGCTTCAGCTTCGTCATTCCGGACCAATCCGCTCTCCTGATGWGCCTCGTGTACCTTTAAAAGGTTGAGCTCGTGTCTGTGGCTTCCCCTCGGCTCTGTGTGTTTCTTCCAGCAGTGACATGGCAGAGCAGCTGCGTGTGCTCTTGGCTGCATCCTCCTCCTCCTCCTAAAAGCCCAATGGAGTGTCTGTACGGAGCCGGAGCCGCTCCGGGTAGGATGACGGTGCCCGTGTGGATCGTCCTGATGTCGGTGTCAGGAGGACTGAGGGCGGAGGACGGCAGAGGAGGAGGAATGGAGGAACTTATCACGGAGAAGGAGGCAGAGGAAAGTCACCGACAGGACAGCGTCAACCTGCTGACATTCATCCTGCTGCTGACTCTGACCATCCTCACCATATGGCTCTTCAAACACAGGCGGGTCCGGTTCCTTCACGAGACCGGGCTGGCAATGATCTACGGTGAGGCACACAAACTGCCACCTTCCCGCAGGCTTTCAGGCTCCCCGAGTCTGTACGAACAAAACCCGAGGAGATGCGCCTCCAGCAGCTCCACGCGCCCTGTTAGCTCCTGATTGGCTGAGTGCTCATTTCTACAAGGTGCTTAGTGCTGCTCACTGTGTGAAACCAGTGAATAATGAGATTTAATCAGCTTTTATTAAAGTGCTTCATATAAAACACAGTTTTATGTAGGATTTATAGTTTTCTCTAAAATCTCTGACAGCAGCTTAGCTAAAAAAATCTGTTCAAACTTAGAATTAAACATTTTCTTATTTGTTTTGCAGCTTCTACATAAAACACTGCAGGCATGACAGCCAAAGGCGTCTGTAACTTAACTTTTGCAGTTCAAGGTTTTTTTTTCCTATATTTGCTTTTGCACAGGTTAAGGTTTATTGCCAGGAAATGCTGGCTCAGCATTTACATTTTTCTTTCTTCTGCTAGCATTACTTCTGCATACTTAATGACAACGTTTAGCTTAGTCAGGAACGGCGGACTATAACGTTTGGTATTTATAACTTTTATACTTTTCACTAGGGCTGCCACGATTAATCGACGACTAATCGATTATTAAAATAATCGATGACTAATTTAATAATCGATTAATCGTTTTCTTTTTTTGTTGTTGTTCTTTACTTTGTTTTTGTCTCCAAACTGCTTTGACACCTTCCACTGCCACGTCTGCCTTTCTGTCCTTGACACACATGCACAGTAGTGGTAACTGGGGTAGGCCGTGGACGTCACAAGACATTATACAGACAGGCTCTGGTATCATGGCTACCCAGCAACAGAGCTCAAAGTGTGGGATCATTTTAAGAAAATGAAAGAGAAACCTGTGCAATATCTGCAGAGCAGAACTTACCTTCCACAGCAATTATTTTTAGTTAGCATATAGCTAAAATCTAACCATGGTTATATAATAGCAGCTGCATTCTGACGTGATAAGCTCTATGTTTTATATTCAGTTAACGTATGATCCGATTAGTCGACTAATCGAATAAATAATCGGTGATTAATCGATTATAAAAATAATCGTTTGTGTCAGCCCTACTTTTCACAATATTTAACATTTAACAAGAAAGAAGAAGTCTCTGTATGCACTGGGTTCCCTTCAGATCTTTGACAAGTTTTTCTCTGAAATCTGTTTCAAGACAGCATTTTGCTACCTGTTTAGCTTGTGTTTTGTTCATTTTAGCTTTTAGTCAGTCTTGCTAATTTTAGGTTTTAGCTGCTATTCAATTTGTTTTAGCTTGCGTTCTGCTTGTTTTCAAGTCAAATCAGGTGTATTCATATTTAAAAACATCTGCCTCAGCCAAAGAGCTGCACAACAGCAAATAGCTAAAAAAATAAAACCAAATATAAAAAAACACGACAACAAGAACACTTATAAATATTGGACATAAAATAAAATCCTTCAAGTTCTGCAACAGTGTCAAATCAAGTTGTATTAAGACCTCACCTCTGTGGACCAGCCTGGACCTCAGGACAACTGAAGAACAATGATCACTGGACATGGGTTTTTTACGATGTAAAAACAAGTGTGCATTGCCATGTAGCATGTCATTGCAGCATGGCTTTGCCTGCAGCATTGGACTTGCAGAAGGAACTTTGACCAAGTTCAAATGTATTTTCTATACCAGCTTGTGCCTGTCACGTCAGCAGGTGTTTGTAATTAAGGTAATTGTGTGACAATATGAAATTTGAAGAGACTTTTTGTTAAAGTTGCATTAGCTGGGTTTTGAACCCTGATCTCCCACATGTAAGTCCATGATATAGACCATTAGACCAATGGAGCTGTGGCAGAAGATGGTGGCAGGGGTTGGTTTGGATGTGTGCAGAAAGAGGCTACATTGCCAATACAATTATTTACACAAAATGCATAATATTACAACAATCGAGCAGTATTAAGACAATATTATAGTAAAACATCTATACTGTACTGTACTGTAAACAGTGAACTATTGAGTTGAAATATTAAACTATGGTGCAGTACCAAGTTGAGTACAGCATGGGGCAGTATTGGACCAATACAAGGCTCTGTTGACTGCCATTATAATTCATTAAACATTAACATTTCATAAACTAAGTTTTACAGGCACCAAAAAGCATAGCCATCATTTGGCACAGGRGCTTTACAGATATAAATTACAATGGCAGCTCTAGGACAAAGTATGCAGGAGGAGAAGCATGGCAAAACTGAGATGACTTGGATGGGAAACGAATCACAATAGTGTGCAAAATGCATACTGATTAGATTTGAAGGACACATCAGGCTGCAGGAGGTCTGGCAGGTCTACAGGAGTCTGTCCATTCAATTCCTGTGTAGTTCATCAATAAAACTTTTWAAAAACTCTAAAACAAACATATAGCTGATAAAGGGAAGTCCAGCCTTTTCCCCCATGTTTAAATTTTAACAATTCGGTTTCAGCTTMAACAAACAGCCTTCGCACAGTTTACACGCTCATTGTGTTGTCAGGGAGTGACACGCTGGGAGATGTGTTGGATTTACTTTAACAAATTATAGCAACGGGTTCCACTCAACTGAATTAAGTTTCATTTACTTTTAAAGTAAATTGAAAAAAAAAGTACATTTACTCAACTTAATTAATGGTAACTAGTTGACATTTGTTTAAGTAAATCCAACACATTTGTTTTTTATGGTGCAGTATGRGGGCCAAAATTAAGACTATACTGCAGTGCAACCAGTGGTTGCCACATCGTTGTAGCAGCCAGCTGTTGATCTCATTAATAACAATGATAACAGGCCCTGGTAACTGAGAGGCCGATGCTGGCAAATGAAAAAGAGAATATTCATTTGCGTTAGCATTGGAGAGGCTAGCGTCTACCATGGATAAGTTGGCGTAAGGATTATAAAGGCTAGCAACTAGCATGGATAAGCTGGCATTACATTCTAGAGGCTAGCACTAGCATAGATATGCTGGCATTAGTTTTGTAAAGGCTAGCAACTAGCATAGATAAGCTGGCGTTAGCATTGTAGTGGCTAGCAACTAGCATAGATAAGCTGGCGTTAGCATTGTAGTGGCTAGCAACTAGCATAGATAAGCTGGCATTAACATTGTAGAGGCTAGTAGCTAGCAAAGATAAGCTGGCGTTAATATCATACAGCCTCTCCGATGCTAACACAAATGAATAGTCTCCTTTTAATTTGCTGGTGCCAGCTTCTGATTACTGTTTTTAACAACTGCTGAAACACAGTTTTGCAAATTAGTAGTGGTGGGCACAGTTCCCCTAAAGCACTAATAGGGGAACTAATTTCCTGATTAGTGCTTTAGGGCTTTTGCTAATTTTAAAATGTATTAGTGGATTAGCACTTGCTAAATTTATAGTTTAAATTTAGAAGCACTAACTGAGGTCTATAAATCTTGTTGATCACTGTTATTGTCATCAGCTGAGGGTGAAAGCTGTCACACATTTTGTTCAAATGTGTGTCACTTATCCACCAGGTGACAATATATGAACTCAAATACAGCTGTGGAATGTCAATGATAAGTCTTAAAAGATCAACATTTTAATATGTGACTCATGTTGTCTGTTGACGAGTCACAAATATATCTATATATATATCTATATCTGTTGTGCAACAAATGCACAACAGATATRTTTATAGATACAAGGCTTGTACAATGCAGCCTAAAGATATTTTCTCCTCAGTAGAGTAAACTGTAGAGGGAACTTGTACAGTTAGTGTATGACATCAGCCATTCATGAAGTAAACAGGTGTCACCAACTGATACACTGTGGGTGTACTACACTGTGAAATAAATATTGGTTACAAACCTGTGCTCCAGTCTAAATGTCCAGATGACAGTGGCAACAGTAAAACAGCTCAAGTTGGACTGCACTCTCTGTCCAGCTACTCACAATGGGCCTCATGCAAGAACCGTTCGTACACACAGATCTGTTCTTAAGTTGTGCGTACGAGTGATTTAGGAGAATTTGTGGCATTCACCAATGTTTTCGTATTCTAAGATTTTTTCCAGATACGAAC